GCCGGGGGGGGCTGAGGGCTTCGCGGAGGGTGCGGAGAGGGGGCGCCGGCCTGCCCCGTCTCCGCAGGGGATGGGCTACCGGGTGAAACGCGGCTCAGGAGCCTGCAGAGCACACCGCCTCAGCGCTGCGTGCTTGCGCTCCGTGGGCTTTCTGTGGTGGGGCGGGGGTCCCCTGCAGGCATTAGGCAGGCCTCGGTCATAGAGGGGCCCTGCCTTGGCGGAGGGGGGAGCTATGAGACCGGACCTTTCTGTCTTTTGCTTTCCCTCGGAGAACCCTTTTTTTTGTTCGCCATGTGCCTTTCTTGCTGGCCACGTGTCTCCTTCCTGCAGCCCCTGGCTCACTCTCTCCCCTGCGACCTGCGCTGCTTTATCACGTCTCCAGTCCCTGGCCTGTCACCGAGGCTGGCCAGTCCTGGGGCTCAGAGCCCCACAGGCACGTTTCTCTAACGTACCTGAGCTGCTGCAGCTGAGCTGTGCCTGGCTTCGCGTTCTGGTGCGGCTCATGGGGTGCAGCAGTGGCCGGTATCCCCCCGGCTTCTGTTCCCAGTAACCTCAGCTCACCCATGTGTTCTCATTTTTTCCCTGAGAATCAGCCTGCATTTTTTACTTCATCCTGCTCAGGCCCACACCACCAACCCTGTCCCTTTCGCCGCCTGCCTGTTGGTTCATGTTCATGCCGTAGGTCCGTGCCGAGGAAGACCGGGGTACGAGCAACTCCTCAGCACGAGTAGTGCATTCTTGATGCTCTTTTGGATACACCTTTTCAGGATCCCCAACTCTTCGCAGCTCAGAGTGCCTTTTAGAGGAAAGGTTGTAGCTGATTGGGGTGAGAGTTTCTTTGCGCAACAATTGCAGTGGGAGTTTGTATTAATGGATCCGTTTTCCTTTTCATCAGGGTGGAATGGAGAACTATAAGAAGACCAAAATTGTGGAGAAACCTTGTCCTCTTCCTTTCACCAACCTGCCCCCTGATATTATTGAAATGAAAGTGAAGGACGGGAGCAAAATCAGAAATCTGATGGGCTATGCCATCGGCAAGATGGAGCTGGACTCGGTGAGGCAGATTCTTTTCACTGGCTCGGGCAAGGCCGTCAGCAAGACCATTACCTGTGTGGAAATCATGAAACGAAGGCTCAAAGAGCTGCACCAGATCACCAAAGTGCTCTTCAAACAGATCGAAGAGATCTGGGAACCCATCGTGCCCGAGGCAGGCCTCGATGCCTTGACAGTGAAGAGAAACATTCCTGCCATATGTGTCCTGCTCAGCAAAGACGCCCTCGATCCTCAGGAGCCGGGATACCAGGCTCCGGGCTCTTTTGACGCCTTCTGGATCGAGACGCTTAAAGCGGAGTCTCAGGGCCAGATGAAGAGGAAGCAGGGTGGAGGCCGGGGCGCCGGCAGCACGGGCAAGCACCCTCGGTCCGCTGGAGGAGGGCCTGGGGAATCCTGCGCCAAGTCCTGAGATGACAATGCCACGTTTTGGGTGTAGTTTGGGGGAGTTATGGAAACGAGCCAGCTGCTGTAGCTGGAAAGCTGCTGCTGAACACGGGGGCTTGCAGAGTTGTTAGGGGAGGGCAGGAGAAGTTAACTGTTTCAAAAAGGATGTGATTGTAGCTGCCTCAAACTGTGTTTTGACAAGTTCCCTTGTCAAAGGCTGCCAGGCTGTACTCCTTAGCGTGCGGTTCAGGGAAGACTGGAGTCGTCGCTGCTTGAGCAAGGACCGTTGGCATCTTGTCAGCGAGCCCCAGCGAGCGGCTGCTGGCT